TTTTTCCATTCTGTATCAGGTATAAGAGGAGACTGTGTTTAGCTCTCTGTTGTGCAAAGCTTCCTCGGCTGACGTCTGCGTATTTATTATCTGTTTATTGAACCCATTTGTTGCTTTTCTTACAAAAGCAGCTCAGAGCAACTTGCCACAATAAATAAACACATACATTTAAACCAGCATAAGACAAAACTAAAGAAAACAAAACCCTACCTCGTAAGGCTGTTGAGAAGATACAGTGGGAGAGACCCTATATGCTACCTTGTGTTATTCAGGGGGAAGGTGGGTTAGAAATTCAGTAAATGAGAAATAAACTCCCTTGAGTTGAATCCAGACTAAATTGGTTGTACTTGGTTCCTATTGAACTAATCAAACAGTGAGACATAAGCCATGCCTAACTTATCCTGTCAATTCCAATGAGACTAATTGCAATAAACTCAGTCTGAATCCTACCCACTTATTCCCGCTCCAGGTTTAGCAATTGTAGTCGTGAAATGTTCTGTACTGGGTGAGAAGGAACATTTTGGGGACGGTGGGGAAAATTTTAGATATATTTCATCACTTTTTTTTCAAGTTTGGACAAATATTTTTTATTTTAAGTGCTCAAATGGCTAGAAGCAGAATACCTACACATGTTTTAAAAAATTAACACATCTACAGAACATTCTGTTCAGGTGATGGCCTTCAGTTATTTCAGCTATCTGGGTGTGGCTGGGTTACCACCCAGTTTCTGACAGGGATTCTGCACTTTTCAACACCTGCACGCAGCAAAAAAATTAGCAGGTGTCATTTTCCTAAGCCTAGCGCTGGAATGGGGAACTTGTAGCCCTACAAACGTTGGGCTAATTTCTCCTCATCCCTGACTGCCTCTGTCTTCTCTCCAAGCTGGCTCCACCCTGGCGGAGTCTGCAGCTGCCCCTGTTCCAGCTGCCTCTCCTTCCCCAGCCAGCCCTGCATCCAACAAAGCAGGCACCCTGTGAGCTGAAGCAAAATATTTAAGGATCCAGAACCCAGAGGCAAAGTTCTTCCCTTCTTAGAACCAAGAGAACCACGAAAGCCAAGCAAAATGCCTCCTAAGCTTTAGCAAACCTGAAAATAAAGGGGTTGCGGAACCAGCAGTTATAGAATATAGAAAGCAGATTGATGATTTGAAGACGTTCAAGAGAGCCCGTGTGGTGCAGTGGTTAGGTTGCCTGACTAAGAGGACCTGGGAGACAAGGGCTCAAGTCCCCCCCCCGTCACTGGGTGACCTTGGGACCAACACTGCCTCTCAGTCTCACTGGATTGTTGTGAGGATTAAATGAGGAGGGGGAAGAACCATGCCCGCCACTTTGAGCTTGGAGAAAAAGCTGGGATATAAAAACAATAAATAAATTAAGAAATAACAGTAGAACAGGAACTAACCAAAGGCAGAAGTAGTGGAAAATCTAGAGGAGAAGCTTCTCTCTGTGGCTGAAATGGACAGTAATGCTACCTCAGCCTGTGGCAGCAGCAAACCAGGCAGGTCTGGTATTTTACCACCTAGTGGCAGCATGGAGCAAAAGCAGGGACCTGAAGTGGCATTGCAGAGAGGGTGCAGGTTGGATCCAGACTTAGTAGTCTTGCTTCATGTAGGTGTGCTGATATTAATGGGTGTTAAGTAGTCGTGACCAACTTGTCCCACTGATTTCAGCAGGGCTGTTCAAAGCATGATTAAGTCCAGAGCGAACCCATTTGTTTGATAGACTACTACTACTACTACTACTACTGGGGACGCGGGTGGCGCTGTGGGTAAAAGCCTCAGCGCCTAGGACTTGCCAATCGCATGGTCGGAGGTTCGAATCCCCGCGGCGGGGTGCGCTCCCGTCGCTCCGTCCCAGCGCCTGCCAACCTAGCAGTTCGAAAGCACCCCCGGGTGCAAGTAGATAAATAGGGACCGCTTACCAGCGGGAAGGTAAACGGCGTTCCGTGTGCTGCGCTGTCTCGCCAGAGCAGCGATGTCACGCTGGCCACGTGACCCGGAAGTGTCTCCGGACAGCGCTGGCCCCCGGCCTATAGAGTGAGATGGGTGCACAACCCTAGAGTCTGGCAAGACTGGCTCGTACAGGCAGGGGTACCTTTACCTTTACTTTTTTACTACTACTACTACTACTACTACTATATTATTTATACCCCCACCCATCTGGCTGAGTTTCCCCAGTCACTCTGGGCAGCTTCCAGCAGAATATTAAAATACAATGATTCATCAAATATTAAAAGCTTCCCTAAACAGGGCTGCCTTCAGATGTCTTCCAAAAGTCTGATAGTTGTTTATTTCTTTGACATCTTGTGGGCGGGTGTTCCACAGGTCAGGCGCCGCTACTGAGAAAGCCCTCTGCCTGGTTCCCTGTAACTTCGCTTCTCGCAGCGAGGGAACCGCCAGAAGACCCTTGGAGCTAGATCTCAGTGTCCGGGTGAACGATGGGGGTGGAGACGCTCCTTCAGGTATACTGGGCCGAGGCCGTTTAGGGCTTTAAAGGTCAGCACCAACACTTTGAATTGTGCCCGGAAACATACTGGGAGCCAATGTAGGTCTTTCAGGACCGGTGTTATGTGGTCTTGGCGGCTGCTCCCAGTCACCAGTCTAGCTGGTGCATTCTGGATTAGTTGTAGTTTCCGGGTCACCTTCAAAGGTAGCCCCACATAGAGCACATTGCAGTAGTCCAAGTGGGAGAAAACCAGAGCATGCACCACTCTGGCAAGATAGTCCATGGGCAGGTAGGGTCTCTGCCTGCGTACCAGATGGAGCTGGTAGACAGCTGCCCTGGACACAGAGCTGACCTGCACCTCCATGGACAGCTGTGAGTCCAAAATGACTCCCAGGCTGTGCACCTGGTCCTTCAGAGGCACAGTTGCCCCATTCAGGACCAGGGAGTCCCCCACACCTGCCTGTGTGCAGGAGATTGCAGCTGCAGCATCTTATGCAATGGGACAGGGTTATTGTTTTGTCGTTATGGATTTTTGTGCTTTTATACTGTAAACCGCTCTGTGATCCTAAGAGGAAAGGAGATCTATAAATGTGAAGAAGAAGAAGAAGACGACGACATGATGGACCATAACTGAAGCACCACTACCCTGGATGCTGCATAGACTCCTGACACAAACCTGCTTGCTATTCTCAGCAGGTAACAGAAAGCCAACATTTTCAGCTTCAGGTCCATCAGCAAGGAGGGTCTCATGTCCATAAGACAACACTGCAAGGTTATTGTGAAGCAGTCAGAGCCTGACGGCAAGTATTCCGTGTGCACTACGCTGCAAGACTCAGTGAGAACCAGCAAGGTGTAGTTGTTAAGAGTTGTTAAGACTAGAACTGGGTCGATCTGTGTTTAAAATCCCCATTTGACCGTGATGCTCGCTGGGTGACCCGTCAGTCACCAACTCTCAGCCTCCCTATGTCACAGAGAGGTTGTGCAGGTGAAAGTGGGGGAATACCATGTATGTCACTGATAATTTTGGAGGAAAGACTCATTGGAAGAAGAAGAAGAGTTTGGATTTGATATCCTGCTTTATCACTACCCGAAGGAGTCTCAAAGCAGCTAACATTCTCCTTTCCCTTCCTCCCCCACAACAAACACTCTGTGAGGTGAGTGAGGCTGAGAGACTTCAGAGAAGTGTGACTGGCCCAAGGTCACCCAGCAGCTGCATGTGGAGGAGCGGGGAAGCGAACCCAGTTCACCAGATTATGAGTCTACCGCTCTTAACCACTACACCACACGGGCTCTGGAGAGATGCTGCCCATTAGCTGCCTTATATGAAGTTAGACCATTGGTCCACCTGCCTCCTCTGTGTTGTCCATGCTTCCTATACTCCTGTGTTTTAAAGCCATCTCCGTTAGTGCCTATCCCATCTCGTGGCAGCATTACATAACTTTTGAGCTATTCCCAAAAATGAAGAAGAAAGCAAATTGGGGGGAAATGGGTAGCAAGACGCAAGGGATGCAGTTGTGGGGGAAGCACATATATTTTTTAAGTGAATTAAACATGGAGCATTCCTTGCTCCAGGGAGACTCTAAGCAGGTTTGACATCTTTATCTCTTCTTCTTCTCAGGCAAAAAGAAAAAGAAAAAAAGTGTGTGTTGGGGGGAGTAGTACAGAAGCATAAATAGCCCCAAACTTGGGTGTTGCCTCTCTTTGATCATTCTGAGTCATTCGAGCATAATTTCTGCATCTCTTGGCTTGTTGTAGGGATGGGAGGAGGGTTTAGAGTCAGTGATCACACCAAGTTGAGCAGCAGTGAGGAATCTGTGGCCTTCCAAATCTTGGACTCCAACTCCCATAATCCCTGGCTGTTAGCCATGCTGGCTGAGGCTGATGGGAACTAGAGTCTGACCGCAGGTGAAAGGCTACTGGCTCTGCCCCTTTGAAGTGGGGCTTCCCCACCCCTTTATTGCCCTGAGGGATATCTGAGGCTTTGATGGAACTGCAAACACACATTTGTGGGATATAAGTGAAATCACAGAATTGTAGGGTTGGAAGGGACACCAAGGGTCATCCAGTCTAACCCTCTGCGAAGCATAAATAATTTTTGCCTCTGCAGCACATATGCATGCTCAAAGAAAAGTGAGATTATCTGAAGAGCTCCAGCCTGAGAATATAACAAAGTAGCTTATTCTAAGGAAGACCCTTTCAAGTAGGGCATTGGAAAATTGGAGCATGTCCAGAAGAGAGCAAACGATTAGGAACATGGAGACATATGGAGCTGACATGCCAGTCCCTTGGGTCCATCTAGCTCTATACTGCCCGGGGTTTCCCAAACTTGGGTCTCTAGCTGTTTTTGAACTACAACTCCCATCATCGCTAGCTAGCAGGACCAGTGGCCAGGGATGTTAGGAATTGTAGTTAGCTGGAGACCCAAGTTTGGGAAACCCTGGTCTGCACTAACTGGCAGCGGCTCTCCAGGGTTTTAGACGGGGAGGGGGAATTCCCAACCCTACCTGGAGATGCCGGGGATTGAACCTGGGACCTTCTGCATGCAAAGCAGATGTCCTGCCACTGAGTTAAAAGAAGTGAGGGCAAGTCCAGTTCTAAGCATCCATTTCTCAAGGTTAACCCTGCGATTGGGAAGATCTGCCTGGATTAGGCTTCAGAAAACGAGTATCCCCACTTTTCAAAGGATCTTTCTAACCCCACGCAACTATTTTACAGCTTGGGAAGCTTTTCATCTGTGATTAATTTGGCTCTGCAGCACTGACTCAGAACAGGTGATCACACCCTGCAGACGTGTTGGCATTGATCTCTCGGTAGTTTTCAAACCCCTGGCTTGTGCCTTGAAGCACAGTTGTGGTACCGTATTGCTTTCAAGACAACAGCTGAACTTTCCATCATCATTCCCCCTCCTCCCTCCTTGAAGGGGGAAGTGAAATTAGCCCAGCGTGCTTTGAGTTTATTTAACAAGTTCAGCTCCTGTGGCCAATAGAGACTAACAGCAGAGGGGGAGAGAAAATCGTTGCAGCCTACATGCTTTGGAGATTAAATAAGGCCTTTTAAAGGACTTGGACAGAGATGCTGGGTCTCTCTCCCCACCCCATGTGGAATGTTACGTGCCTATCCCAGACTTCACCACCAGGGCCACAGGAATTTTGAAGAAGAAGGGGAAGTTTTTTGGAATTCAGTGCATTTTCTGTTGCACCCACTTTGGGCTGTTTTCCAGGCCAGTCGCTGCTATCCAGACACACCCCTTTTTGAAAAGACTATTTAAGGATGAGCTTGAGCACAGCACCCTCCCAAAGGCAGAGAGGCAGGGATGCACAAAGAGAGGGGCTCAGGATGTCTGACCACGCCGGGGCAAGAACAACCTTCACCCTCATTCTCTTTGTCCTGGGGCCTGGCTGGGTATGTATGCACAATTTTACAGGAGGTGTGTGCAACGAATGAATGAGACTTGCGCCTGCCTTTGATGCATGCCAGATGAGTTAGTTGACTTCAGCAGAGCTTAATATGTTCAGGGTGGGACCAAGGGCTCAGAGGTCCAGCTCTAGTTGGCTAGCAGCAGCTCTGCAGGTTTTGGGGGGCCACCTCTTGTATGCATATGTTTACACACTAGTGAGGGATGCGGGTGGCGCTGTGGTCTAAACCACTGAGCCTCTTGGACTTGCCGATCAGAAGGTTGGCGGTTCGAATCCCTGCGATGGGGTGAACTCCCGTTGCTTGGTCCCAGCTCCTGCCAACCTAGCAGTTTGAAAGCACGCCAAAAAGTGCAAGTAGATAAATAGGTACCACTGTGATGGGAAGGTAAATGGTGTTTCCGTGCACTGCTCTGGTTTCAGTGTTCTGTTGCGCCTGAAGTGGCATAGTCATGCTGGCCACATGACCCAGAAAAACTGTCTGCGGACAAACGCCGGCTCCCTTGGCCTGTAAAGCAAGATGAGTGCCACAACCCCAGAGTCATCTGCAACTGGACTTAACTGTCAGGCGTCCTTTACCTTTAGCATTTTACACACTGGTGACTTTAGGAAACCTGGAGGGTACATGCATACAATAGACGTCTAGTGTTAAATGCAAAATAACACAAGGGGCCACAGAATTGTCGAGTTGGAAGGGACCACGAGTTTCATCTAGTCCAACCCCCTGAAATGCATGAGTCCTTTTGCTCAGCATGGGGCTTGAACCCACGACCCTAGGATTAAGAGTCTCGGGCTTGACCAATTGAGCTATAATGATGCATAGGATATGTTAGAATGGTTTGAGTTTCTTTAGTGGAAGCAAAGGGCACTTTGTATATATTTAGAAAATTATGCTGCAGAAATAGAGAGTTGTTGTCAGCTGAGTTCTGCCCAGGGCAGACCTACTGAAAATAATTAGTTGCGTTCCTGGATTTTGATAGGTTTACTATGAGTAGGCTAAAGATTTCATACAGCATGAGGCTTGACTCTTTTATACATATTTTTGCATATGAATACAAGCTTTTAAAAAACAACAACAAGCTATGGGCTGAACTGAACTGTTGAATGCAGGGAACAAGGTCTGCTCACAAAAAAAGACTCCCCCCCCCCTGCACCCTCTAAATTTTCTCTGGAAGGTGGGGGGACGACCTAGAACAGGTTTTGGGATTTGCAGAAGGGAGGGGAAGTCTCACTGCATGAGTGGACCTTGTTCCCTGCACGGCGAATGCCCCACTTTAGTGCATTGTTAAATTCCACCCTACGGGTTATACCAGGGGATATTGTTTTGTTTGGTTTCTGTCCTCGTTTATATTATGTATTTCGTCTTTTCATCTTGTGTTTTTATGCTGTGAACCGCCGTGAGATCTATGGATGAAGGGAGGCATGCAAATTTAATAAATAAAACAAATAAAAATAATAGTCCTACTCGGAGCAGAGCCATTGAGACTAACATAATTAAGTTAATAATGAGCATGAGTTTTGATGGGACTACACTCAGTAGGGTGGATGAGTGGCTTGGACGTAAGTGGGCGCTCGATTCAAGAGGGGGCTGAAGGCAATCGAAGCTCTGGCCTGGAACCATTAAATTCTGCATATGAATCCTTTAAAACTAGATTCCCCCTCCATCCCTAGCCCTGGAGCATGTCTGGCGCCATTGTTCGCACTAGCAAAGTTATCCAATTCCAAGGGGGAAATGCTGTTGAGAAAGCAGCAGTGAGAATTAGAAGTTCGGGCTGGTTATTTGGGCTGGGATTCTCATCAGCTTGTCATGTGCTTCTTGCAGCATTCAAGATTCCTCAAAGTGGGCAAATGACCACCCTAATGAGGCGAGTACATCCCACAGCTGAGTAACAGAGCACCCGCTTTGCATGCAGAAGGTCCCAGGTTCAATCCCCGATATCTCCAGGTAGAACTCTGAGAGACAATATCCCAGCTAAATATCCACTATCCCAGCCTAAATTCCCAGAGAGCTGCTGCCAGTCTGTGTAAACAGTACTGAGCTAGATGGACCAAGGATCTGGCTCGATATAAGACAGCTTCCTATGTTTGTAAGCATGGCCGTGGGTGTGTGGAACTGGTAAATGGTGCGACCTCCTGGCTTTATTCCATAGCTCCCTGAACCGGATGAAAATAGAGGGCAGTGATGGATTTTAATAGATCCTGATAGACTTACAAGAGGATGGACTGCTTGCAGTATAAATCTGACATTATGGAGTACGACTTTAGGGGTCGACAGCTTGGGAAACTTCCTGTTTGGGTACAATGTTTACTTCGGCTTGTGCTGTAACTGTTTTTTGGTTTTTTTTAATGGTTTTACAATGAGTTGAAATGGGCTCCATTTGCAAATAATGTGTGCTGGGGTGGAGTAGCTTTGGCTCTCCTGTTGGGCTCCCAACTCCCATCAGCCCCAGCGAACATGGCTGAAGGTGAGGGGTGATAGGAGTTGTAGTTCGGCAACCACAGGTACCCCACACCTGATGTCCAGTGTCCTCCAGGTTATTACTTTTTAAAAAAAATAAAAATCTTTCATTCTTCTCCACCTCAAATTTTAAACAGGTTTCTTTATCAGTAGAGTAAAGTAAGCCTCATAACGGGTAGCTAATTGGGTTCCACACACACACACACACACACACACACACACACACACACAGATGTTGTTGGACTACAAGTCCCATCATTCCTGACCATTTATCATGCTGACTGGGGCTGATGGGAATCAACACCTGGAGGGCCAAGGGCTCCCTGCACCAGGACAAGATCTTTCCCCTTCCAGGTGTTGCTGAAAGACAGCTCCAATTGGCTCCATGGCCAAGCATGATGGGATTTGTAGTTCAGCAACTTCTGGAAGGCCAAAGGCTCTCCTTCCACACCTTGATAGAAGTGGGGGCAGAATATCATAATGTTCCTTAATATTTATGTTACCTGAAAGGTGGGAGGAAATGTGTTCATTTCAGTTCTGTGTACTTGCTTCCAGCTGGGAATGGGGACTTCATCCCAGAGTCCCCAAGGGCACTGGGCCTCATAAGAGCTACTCAGCTAACCCCCCCCCAACCCGGAATGTGATAGCATGAACCATAAAGCAATTCAAAGGCGTTGCTACCGCCCATGTTAGCTCCTTCCCCGAGGTGAGATCTGTGTGGTTCACTGATCCAGTTCAAGGCTTCCTTGCAGCCAGAACAGCTGAAGACATGAGAAGTGAATCTGCAAGGTTTTGATGCTGGAGAAGGTGATCTGAAGCAGAAAGAACATTAGCATGAGTAATTTGCCAGGTACCCAGGCTGAAGCCTGACGAGCCGGCATTGAAGAAACATCAATCGTGTTTCGACTTGCAGGCTGAGCAGATGGGACCAGGGCATCCCTGAACAGATCCGTAGAGTCCCAAACGGCTGCTCTTCTCATCGAGAACGACTGTTCCTTCTTTCTTTAGCTACGCCTTCGGAGAGTATTGGCAGAGGCAGCTTTGCAAAAAGCATGGCCTCTGAGGGGCAGAGTGCCTTCCTTTGTCTGAGGCTGCTGTGCCAGCTGCAGCTGCTTCTAGGCAGAGATGGCCTGGCCACAGGGACCCGCCAACCTTTCAGATTGACTACTGCGGGGCTTCTGCTGAAGACAGACTGAAAAGTGCAGCTCATCGAAACACAGCTGCTTGGCCAGCAGCCTGGAAACAGAAATTGGGGATATATTGTGCCAGGGCTTTAAGAGATTTGCGGGCTTTCTGCTTATTTCTAGGCGTGTGGATGCTTACCTTTAAGAGGGGCAGAGAATAAAAGGCAAGGGACTTTTTAATCATTACCATTATTTGTACTTACGTCCCAGCTTTTTCTCCAAGCTCCAAGCTTTTCTCCTCATTTAATCCCACCACAGCCTTGTGAGGTGGGTTAGGCTGAGAGGCAGTGACTGGCCCAAGCTCACCCAGTGAGCTTCATGGCCTAGAGGGGATTTGAACCCTGTTCTCCCAGGTCCTAATCCGACACTCTAACCCAGTGTTCCCCAACCTTGGGCCTCCAGCTGTTTTTGGACTACAACTCCCACCATCCCTCGCTAGCAAGACCAGTGGTCAAGGATGATGGAAATTGTAGTCCAAAAACAGATGGAGGCCCAAGGTTGGGGAACACTGCTCTAACCTCTACACCACACTGGCTCTCATAGGGCCCTCCAGGCCTCTCTCCATAGCATTCAGGACTCTACAGGCTACATCCCTCATTGACTGTGCTCTGCACCTTCCGCAAGTGCTTTTGTAGAATATATTCCACAGCTTTTAATTGTAGCGCTGTTTAATTGTTCTTGATTATTGTTTTCCCTGTGTTTTCAGCTGTTCTTATTTTTATCTGTAAACTGCTTTGAGTCCTGTCAGGGCAAAAGATGGGGGTGTAAATAAATATATAGTAATTATTGTTATTATTTTGTCTGGCTGGAATCCATCCTCACTTCTTGCTTGTCTGATGAGAGAATGGAGATACATGTGGGTGTTGAGACGGGCTTTTGTATGGCTAGACTGTTTGCTGCTGTGGTAACCTTGAGATTGGATTATTGCAATCCGCTCCCTGTGATGGTGGTGTTGATGATGGATGAGGATGATTCCAATTTATTGGTCCCTTTCTCTCACCAAAGGCAACTCAGAGCAACTTGCAGCCAAGGCTCCAAGCTCTCGCCCATGCTCACGGACTTTTCCCTCCTTCTAGGCAGCATCTGAGGCATGCACGTACCCTTGCCAGTGCCCTGTGCAGGCACTCCGGTGCCCTGCTGGCACCAGCCTGTTGCTGGATGGCTGCGGATGCTGCAAAGTGTGTGCCAGGCAGCTCGGCGAGCTGTGCTCCCTCCAGAAGCCTTGCGATCACCACAAAGGGCTCTATTGCGACTTCTCCAAGATCCACAGAGACAGCGGCATCTGCTTAGGTGAGCTGCTTCCACAGATTCTCTGCCGTGAAAGAGGCTTGTTTGCTGCCCCCTGAATGGCAGGACTAGGTCACGCGGGTGTAAGCATGGCTGTGCACGCACCAGAGTGCTAACAGATAAAGTGGGTGGCACAGATCCAGTTTTTCTGTGTGCTCTTCCAATTGTTTCCTGTTAGGGGTCGAGGTCAGGCGCATCCCACACCCTGAGATTTCAGGGCTCAAACTTGGCCCCCTGGTGATGTCACGGTGGGCAGACCCTGGTGATGTCATAGGGTGATTTTTCCTCTGTGCTCCCTCCTGCCACTGAACCCTGGAGACGGAGGTTAATTGGGAGAGGGGAAGAGGGAAGACACCACCACACCCTAGCATCTATGTAATAATTTGCAGCTGGCTCCTGCTGGAATGAAGCTTGCAAGCACAGCCTACTTAATTGTTTTCTAAAAACCTTTTCAAAAGGCACTCTTGCCCACCTGGAGGTTGCAGCCCTTGCTGTGCTGCCTGGAGGGGGCCAGACAAACCTTGAGCATTCAGGTCGGCCCTGAAGGTCCAAAAGCCCTGTTTCCCATCCACACAGGAGCAGTTTTGGATGGGGGATGCATTCAGACTGTGTTGTTGTTTCCTCTCCCATCAGTTAGTATTTCCTCCCCTTGCCAAATTGGGTTGGGGAGCAAGCCTTGAAGTCAAAACCCAAAGGACAATTATATGGGGAAACTCCAGAGCTCAGGTTGACCTTTTTGCTCAGGCAAGATTTAGTCAGGGCAGGAAGCCTTCTCTTAGCCCTGCCTGCCTTGAAGGAGCCAATGGGTGGGCAGAGTCAGTCCCCAGGGCAAAGTAGAGAAGGGGCCACCCACAGTTCATTGGCTGGCCATGAGGGGCACCTGCCCACAGACTCCCCAGCAGCAGCTCTTGACGACAGCTGCTCACCTGCCTTTATACCACAACATGTGATGCATGTGTTGACAGGATCCCTTCGTCCACACGCTTCTCTTCTGTTTTCCCACCAGCTCATGAAGGGGCGACCTGTGACCTGCTGGGCAAGATCTACCTTAATGGAGAGAGCTTCCAGCCCAGTTGCAAACTGCGGTGCATCTGCATGGACGGCGCCATTGGCTGCATCCCCCTCTGCACGGACGGCATGCGCCTCCCTTCCCCCGACTGCCCCTTCCCCCGGCGGGTGAAGGTGCAGAACAAGTGCTGCGAAGAGTGGGTCTGCGAAGGGGGCAGCAGCCCAAAGAGCCACTACGGAAAGGGCATGGCAGGTGAGGGGACTCGTTGGGAAAGTGGGGGAGGGGGTGGCCAAGGAGGCAGGTAGGACTGTTGGAGCAGAAAGACTAAAAGATGCTGGCTGTGGTCACCTCACCTCAAGGAAAAGGTTCAGAAAAGGGCAACCACGATGATCAAGGGGATGGAGCAACTCTCCTACGAGCAGCGTCTGGGAATTTTTAGTTCAAGTCGAGTAAGAGGTAAGAGCCATAGAATCATAGAGTTGGAAGGGATCCCAGGGGTCATCTCCAACCCCCTGCAATGCAGGAATCTCAGCTAAAGCATCCATGGCAGATGGCCATCCAGCCTATGCTTAAAAACCTCCAAGGGAGGAGAGTCCACAGCCTCCCAAGGGAGACCGTCTCACTGTTGAACAGCTTTTACTGTCAGAAAGTTCTTCCTGATGTTTAGTGGGAATCTCCTTTCTCGTAACTCGAAGCCATTGGTTCGAGTCCTACCCTCCAGAGCAGGAAAAAACCAAGCTTGCTCCCTCTTCCCATGTGGCAGCCCTTGAGTGGATTGAGAGAAGTTTTTCTCCCTCTCAAAGCACTAGAACTTGTGGGCATCCAATGGAAGCTTAACGTTGGACCTTGGAATGGAGGTAGTGAGAGCCACTAGGTTAGATGGTCTTAAAAGAGTATTAGACAAATTCATAAAGGACGGGGCTATCAATGGCTACTAACCCTGATGGCTATCTTCTACCTTCACTGTCAGAGGCCGTACTCTTCTGAGTACCGGTTGCTCAAAAGGAGAGTGCTCTTGCGCTTGGCTCCAGAGTGGTGTGACAGTAATTCCTTTTCACAGGGAACTCTGGGAACTGTAGTTCTGGCAGAGGAATGGGGTCTCCTAAGAACTCTCAGCCCCCTTAATGAACTACAGTGGTACTTCTGGATGCAAACAGGAACCGTTCCGAAGCCACGTTTGCATCCTGAGCAGAATGCAACCCGCGTCTGTGCGTGCACGGGTTGCGATTCGCTGCTTCTGCACATGCGCGTAACATCATTTTGAGCGTCTGCGCATGCGTGAGTGGCGAAACCCAGAAGTAACCCATTCCGTTACTTCCAGGTCGCCGTGGAGTGCAACCTGAAAATGCTCAACCTGAAGCGACTTTAACCCAAGGTATGACTGTAGACAGGAGTGCCTGGCGTGCTCTGGTCCATGGGGTCACGAAGAGTCGGACACGACTAAACGACTAAACAACAACAATGACTGTACAGTTCCCATAATTCTTGGGGGGAAGCCATGACTATTTAAAGTGGTACCATAGTGCTTTGAATGTGGGGTGTGAATGTGTCCTCAGTTGGACATAGCCCAAGATAAATGGAAAATTGAGAGAATTCTGAATTACTTTGTTCTATACAGTGAAGGTGGGACAGATAGAGAGGAAGTACTATATATGCCAAAGGGCCTTAAGCACAAGCTATCTCTTTCAGGTATTTCCTGGCCGTCTAGGAGGCCAGCTGTTGAGAGCACTCAAGCAATCTCCCTAAGAAAAGGCTACTAAGGTGGTTTCTCCTGGCTCCCTTTGCCCTCTCCTGTCCAGAGGTCCAGCAAAGGATGCAGCTTTGATCTTTGCTCACCAAAGTCCTTTTCTCCAATCTCAGTTTACAGGAACAACCCAGTTCGCAAGCCCAAGACGAACCACCTCCAGGAGAACTGCTTGGTGCAGACCACAGAGTGGAGCGCCTGCTCCAAAACCTGTGGGATGGGCATCTCCACCCGCGTCACCAACAACAACCCCCAGTGCCGGCTGGAGAAGGAGAGCAGGCTCTGCCTTATCCGGTACTGCAACGTCCCTTTAGAGAAGAGCATCAAGGTAACTAACTGGCTGCTAACTGGAGCAGGTGTAAATGCATGAGATCGGACCATGCCAGGCATGGTGAGCTGCTTCCAGCCTGCGTTCCCAATCTGGTCCACTGCGCCTCTTGACTCGCCCTGCTTGGCTCTCTTTGAACCTCGCCTCCTTCCCTCTAGGCTCCCTACCCACTCACTTGACTTGTTACATTGAGCTGGCAATGCAGGAAAAGATCTCCCTGCATGAACCACTCTCAATGGGTTTCCTCTCTCCGTTCATAGGAAAGGGGTCCTCTTTCTCACTACACAGCAAGGAAAGCAAGCTGAGAAAGAAATGTGTGCGTGAGAGAGAAAGAGTGAGCAAATTACAAAGAATATGGCCCGTGTAAATATGGGGAGGGAGGGAGGGAGGGAGGAGAGACAGCTAGACAGAGACAAAATCTTTCTTTAAAATTGTTGATTTCAGTGAGCTTATTCAGGAAGCTGTTCTCAAGAAGCTGGTATGGAGAAAGCTTCTTTTTCATTTATTACATTTGCACCCATCCTTTTTGCCAAAGAGAGCAAGGTAGTGTACATAGTTCCCCGCCACACTCTGCTCATGTTAACCCCACAACAACCTTGTGAGGTAAGTTAGGCTAAGATGTAATGACCATTCTGAGGTCATTCAGTGATCTTCATAAACTTGAACATAGGGGATTTGAACATAGGTTCCCCTGGCCCAACATTATTAGTGCGCATGCACACACACACATACCCCGTACCTCTAGAGGACGGCCAAGGATTTTCCTTGGGCAGGAAATTCGGTTTCTATCCTGTTCTAACCACTATACTACACTGTCTTCTGCCCTGGAGTACAGTCATACCTTGGAAGTCGAACAGAATCCATTCCAAACTTTTGAAAACCAAATCACAGCTCCTGATTGGCTGTAGGAAGCTCCTGCAACCAATCAGAAGCTGCAGAAGCCCTGTCAGACACTTGGGTTCCAAAGGAATGTTCACAAACTGGAACAATCACTTCTGGGTTTGCGGCGTTCGGGAGCCGAAACGTCCGAGTTCCAGGGCGTTTGGGATCCAAGGTACGACTGTATTTGCTTCCCTGTGCAGGGATTTGTTGATTGTTTGGATGAGCATTGTGAGCCCACCTCACCTGGCATCTGGAGTGGCGAAATCTAGACAAAGCTTTAGCAGGGCCATACCTCGGTCTCGGAGACCTTCCTCCGCATGTGCAAGACCCTAAACACAATCCAAGCCATCTGCAGCCTAGGGTTGGGAAGGATCCCTGCCCCAAACTCTGGAGAGCCACTGCCAGTCTGGTTTTTATAGCCCTACGTCCAGAACTGAGCCAGGATACTTATTGTTGTGGTCTCTTCCCCACCCTCCTCCTCTCTCCAGAAGGGAAAGAAGTGTGTGCGGAACCCCAAGCCCCGCCGGGCGATCCGCTTTGAGTTCACGGGCTGCACCAGCACCCGCTCCTACCGGCCCAAGTTCTGCGGCAGCTGCACGGACGGGCGCTGCTGCACTCCGCACATCACCAGCACCGCGAAGGTGGAGTTCCAGTGCCCGGAGGGAGACTCCTTTGTGCGCAAGATGATGGTCATCCGCTCCTGCTCCTGCCACCATGACTGCCCCGCGGACAACGACATCTTCCTGGCCACCTACCACCGGCGCATGATTGGGGACCACATCAAGCTCGAGAGGCAGTAGAGCCCATCCCCATGCCACCTCCATGATGCAGGCTGGCAGAGATGGCCCTGGCTGTTACCTGGGATGCTGCTGGGAGAATCAGGGGATGGAGGAGGGTGACCTCAGTAGACTGGAAGGCATGTGAGTCCAGGCACTACACAGTCCTCTATGGCAGGAGGCTCCAGCTTTCTCAGACCCAGGACTCGCCTTACAACCAAGTGTGCATTCCAGTTCTTGTTCCTTTTTTATTATTATTACCATGTATTTGTATGGCGACAGTACAGCTATTGTGAAACTCGCCTTAGATCGGGCCGCAACATGGTAAAGGGACCCACCAGTTGGAAAACAGTGCTCCGAGGTGCAACAGCACAAGCCTGGCACTTTGTGGGGTGAAGCTCGCACACTTGGTTTTGCACTAACCAGATCCTCTGTTCCAAAGTTAGCTTCCTTATCTAAGGAGTTCTGACCCAGCTCCACAAACAAACAACTGCCAATAACTCGCTGGCTTTAGGCAGTTTTCATCATACCGTACGCAGCCCCTCAGTTCCCACGATCCCTTTCTCCTTCTCGCTTCTGTTTGGCCAGCACAGCAAAACATCCCCCCTTGTTCTCCAGATGCAAACTTTCCAAGAACTGGAACTCAAGTTGGATAGGTGGCTGTCGCTGTGTGACATAAGCACAGACCCAACTGCTCACCTCTGGCTTCAGAGTTAAACCTTTTTTAGATTAGCTGACCTGAACGCAAAACCAGCTGGGAAATATTAGCTCGATACGACACAGGTTGCTCCCACCAAAGGTATGAAGCCAGCACTACAAATCACAAGCAGAAACGAGTCAAAGGGAAGGCTATGGAAGTCTTTTAACAACAAAAGTCATTCGATAGGCATCTGCTGTATAACCTGGCTGGCGAGAGATCATTGAGTTGAGCATTCTGTCTTTTGGCAGAGGATTCGCCATCACCTACATTTGGAAGACTGGTGTTAATCATTTTGGACGATTTGCAAGACGGAGCCTCCTCCTTTTCTCCCCATAAACCTGCTCCCTGCTCCAAGCATCCGGATTCCCCCTGTAGAGATGCTCCTTCACTCCCAATTTCAACTGTAAATACCATGAGAATTATTTTTAAAGCCTATTGTTACGATTAGCACTTTTTGTTGTTGTGGGTCTAATTTTTTTCCCACTTCTGCTGTTCAATTCTTTCCTTAGTGTTTTCCTCTCTTCTCTCTTTTTTTAAAACTTCTTGCTTATCTGACTTGGAGGAGTCATATTAAGGCAAATGGGAATGAGTGTAGTTCGCTTCCCAGGAAGGGCTGGGAGAGACCCTTGCCTGAAACCCTGGAGAGCTGTTGCCAGTCAGTGTGGACTATACCGAACTACACAGACCCAATGGTCCAACTCTGTAAGGCGGCTCCCTGTGTTCCTAGATGCTGCAGCTAAAGATGATAACAATAAACCTTCTTTTTTAAAAAAAAGTCGCCAGTCAAATAGCTAGCAACGCATGCATATTTCAGAGTCCCATGCAAACAGCATTGGAGAACTGAGACGGGTGTCCCTGCTTCCAGAAAGAAACTGGGTATATTTAGCCTGAAGAAGAGAAGACTGGGTGGAGGCTAGGGTGGAACATGTGGTAATAATATTTAATAATAATCATAATTTATTATTTATACCCTGCCCATCTGGCTGGGTTTCCCCAGCCACTCTGAGTGGCTCCCAACAGATTATTATTATTATTAAAAATAAAGTGATAAAACATCAAACATTAAAAGCTTCCCTAAACAGGCCTGCCTTCAGATGTCTTCTAAAAGTCAGATAGTTGTTTATTTCCTTGACATCTGATAGGAGGGCATTCCACAGGGCGGGTGCCACTACCGAGAAGGTCCTCTTCCTGGTTCCCTGTAGCCTCACTTCTCGTGGTGAGGGAACCACCAGAAGGCCCTCGGCTCTGGACTTGTGTCTGGGCTGAATGGTGGAGGTGAAGATGCTCCTTCAGGGGTACTGGGCCGAGGCCGTTTAGGGCTTTAAAGGTCAGCACCAACACTTTGAGTTGTGCTCGGAAACACACTCGGTAGCATTCCTCAAACACCTGAAAGGCTATCGCACAAGTCTTGTCTATGACAAGCATGACTGGAGTGTATGGCATCAATTCAGGGGAGGGTGGATTTCAGCTGGACTTTTGGAGAAGGTTTGTGATGTTGAGAGATGCTGCTTTGGAACATAGTGGAATTGGTTGCCTTGGAGGAGCAGTAGACTGGAGGTCTTCAAGCAGAGGATGTCTAGCCACCCACCAGGGATGCTTGGTCTTTGGCTTTCTGGCATCAAGCAGGGCTTTAGATGACCTATAGGACCCCCTCCAAGACTTCCTTTGTTGTGGGTGACCTCTGGCAGTAATAGGCAGTTGGCTAGAAGAGACCCTGTTTAAATTTCCCAGAATGCCCTGCTACATCAGGGATATTGTGGGAAATTAACAGCCCTGTTGCTTGGCAGTGATTGGAGAGCTACCTATATACCGTATTTTTCCATGTATAAGACTAGGTTTAACATTGGGGCTCGTCTTATACATGGGTAGTGCTGAAGGGTGTTTTCTTAATTCGGGTCCCCCAAAAATAGGGGGCATCTTATACATGGGGGCGTCTTATAGACGGAAAAATATGCTGTAGGGGGTGGGTGTATAGGGGTGTGGGCTGTCAGTGGCAGCCCACTCTGGGGTGTTGAGGAGGCCCGGCAATTGCCTGAGGGTGCTGCATGCTGGCACCAGGCTTGGCTGCTATTGCACATTTTTGAAAACCTTTTTTTAAAGGACATTCTCCCTCCCAAACATGCCCCAGAGCAAAAATGGAGACGGTGATCTCCCAGGGACGGATACTGGAAACCAAGGATCATATCTATAAAATAGGAGACTGTTGGAATATGTGGCCTGGCTGTCACTTCTGTTCCATCCCAGTGATAACGAAGGCAGCAGACATTGGGCGGTCAGCTCCCTTCCAAAAGCCAAAGTCCTTGATGCTGAGCTACAAATAGCCACAGAACAGATGTGCAAAGCAACAGCCAGTTAGTGTGGCCTGAATGTAAGAGGGGCTTTGCGGAGGCTTAACAGCTTATGGAAGCTGCTCCTCGCCACATCATTCCACCGGGGGCTGATCTCCCTCCCTGCCCTTCACAGGGTAGTATATTCAGGGCTCCCATTCAGTCTTCTGGGTGAATTTCGGATGACAAGGGGCCGAAATTCTACCTGGCTTGCAGGGTAGAAGAATGGATGGATCCAGACCACGTACAGTAGCTTATCAAGGAATAATAATTCCTGGCAACAGGAAACACAGGAGCTTGCAGTTTAAGCTAAAGTCTGCTAGAGGTCTCAGTTGATCTTTACAGGATAAAGGTGCCTTCAGATTCCAGACAGCGTTTTGCAAGGGGTAGGGTGAGATTCAACTTTTAGGCTTGTGCCTAAAGCACTCTGCTGCCCTAGCCTAGCAAATCTAAGGTGTTCGCCAATGCTAGCCCTACTCAGAGAAGACCCATTGAAGGTAATGGTCAGGACTAGCTTAGCTTCGTTAATTTCAATGTGTCTACTCTGAGTAGGGGTTAATTAGCGGTAGCTCCTACTTTAGCAACAACAAGCCCAAAATGGGCTACTTGCAGTTTGGAAAGTGATGGGAAGAAATGAAAAGTATGGGGTGAATGAACGACAAGCAGGAAAATATGTAAACACCCTGCAAGCAAATCAGGATGAACAATGAATGCCGATTGTTGTATAACCGCCCTGTAAATAAACAATAGTCCAACTACAGCATCAGCTTTGTGCAAGCAAATGAGGATGAATGAGGGAAGACTGGGTCATTGGGCAGAACCCTAAGCCGCACCGGCTGTGCTGCTATTAATGGAGGGAAGGGAGAGATGAATTTTGTCTTCATTTCCCTCTTTCTTTCCACCTTCATTAGAGGCATTGGCCACTAGATGGCAGTGTGCACCTCACAAAAAGGCTCGTCAGGAAGAGGAGTTCAGCATTATCTGCAGGGCCCAGAAATAGTCTGGGAGCACCCTAAGTCTGCGGAGGAAGAAAACTAAGATGAGTCTGGAATAGGGGTCTGGGTCTGTGATGGCAGTGCTAGAAGAAATTCAGGGTTCCAACCACAGGCTGTTTTGACAGATGCTGTTTCGCAACATACACATTTACAAATGAGTCTTGAGTTCCTAAAAGACCAAACCTAATATACAACCAGTTAAAATTAAATGTCGTTAGTACAATAGGCAGTGGGTTAGTTTTTTTTAAAAAAATCAGACAAACATATATTATTGTCCTAGAGCAACGTAAAACCAGTAAAAGCCAAACACTTTTTAAAAAATCATTTAAAAATGAGTTTAAAAATCAATTTACCTACGGGACCGCCTCTCCTGGTATGTCCCACAGAGAAATTTACGGTCTGCAAATAAAAACATCCTAAAGATCCCAGGCCACAGAGAGGTTATGCTGGCCTCAACTAGAGCCAGGGCTTTCTCGGCCGCGGCTCCAATCTGGTGGAACGCTCTGTCACAAGAGACTAGGGCCCTGCAGGGACCTGACATCCTTCCGCAGGGCCTGCAAGACAGAGCTGTTCCACCAGGCCTTTGGCCAGGGCACAGCCTGACCCCCTCCTCTGGCAATCTGCACAGAATTTTGCTTGATGGTTGCCATTAATTTGATTTTAATTTGATTTAATTAATTTTATAATGAATGTTTTTAGAATGTCGGACTATTTTGATTGTTGTTAGCCGCCCTGAGCCCAGCTTCGGCTGGGGAGGGCGGGATATAAATAAAATTATTATTATTATTATTATTATTATTATTATTATTATTATTATTATTATTTTAATGCACAGCCTGAGAAAAATAGTAGACAAAAATAAATCACACGACACTGATCTATATTTCATCTGCTAAGCTTCCGAAACATTGATTGCAATCCGCCTTAAAATATGTACTGCTTGTTCTTTCTTATATGGGGTGAGCCTAAAGCTGCTTGCTTGGCAATATGCCTTGCTGAATGCATTCATAGGTAATTCTCCTTTTCCTTTTAGTACAAAGATTCGTTTGCTGAATGTGTAAAAAAGGGGGGGCATTTATATTGTGGGGATCTATGGCTTTAAACGATAGTTTTACTCATTCCCAGGGAAGCGTACAATGGGATCACTGCCGTATGAGATCTTCTTTAGCAGATCCATTGTAGAATTCCCCTCTAAGCATCACCTTAACTTTGCCCTTTAAGAAGCCTTTTGCAAAACATAGCCTGCCGCTTACAACTACAGGACCTGCAAGAGCGCCATCTATTAAGTAGCATTATTGGAGACACCTATCTGGACCTTCCCCTCTGCCCTGTCGCGAAGCAGCTGTTCCCTGTCCTCCATCATCTCTGGCAGGTGCATCCATTTGCCTTGCTTGGGGGAGTAGCTAATTAGCCCAGGAAGGATTTGACTGCTCAACGGTGGTGGCCCAGCTTGGATAGACAGCCCAGCTCATCACCCAGGACGTGCTCACGGTCCCTGCAAGCTGTGGCCAGGACATAAACAGCCGTATCGCCTGATCCCAGGCCGCCGCTGTCCCGTGTGTGTGTCTGGCTGATGGGGCCCATCCTGGGCGTGCCGGCTTGGCCCCAGCTGCTTCTAGAGGGATAAGGGAGCCAGGGGGAGATTCTTGGTACTTGCCATCAGGCAAGTATTCATCCTCAGAATGTTCCCTTGCCTAGCAAGTAAAGCTCCTTATCAGCCAGGCCCAGCTGCTGCTAATGGAAGAAGAGGATCCTGCAGTTCTGGGGCAACCTGGCTGCCACTTTTTGCAGCTGAAAAGAGGTTCCTCTGCTTTGCCAGGAGATGTTCAAAGGATGGAGCTCTTGGCCACGCTTCGGCGTCTGCTGGGCTTTGCTGGGCTGGGAAACAAAGGGAGCGTCCCCAGGTCATAGGAAAGGGCCTTTTCACCATTGCATAGGAAGGATACAATGGGACTACAGCATAGAACGAAAACGACTAAGGCAGTGTACACATAATACCCGTAAGCAGATTCTAAGAACATTCTTTCCCTTGAATAATTATGGGCTCTGTAGTTTGTGAAGGGTTGCTGGTGGGAATTGTAAGTCTGCAATGGGTAAACTACAGGGCCCCAGAATACTTGGAGGGGGA